GTACTTCTTTATAGATATGCTTTGTGATGCAAAAGCACATTATTTTAAAGCTTGAACATGGCAAAACTGTTTCATTAATAACAGGAGAAAAGTTCTATTCTAGTCACAAATTACTTTTTAATTACGGAATTGGATTCTACACACCAGTCAATATTCAATACTGAACTGAAGTTTAAAACAGTGCATTATTTATGATTTATAAAAACATTAAAGTGCCATTTTTAAGTACTTTATTGATATTATACCACACTGCACTTTTATAATATACTCAAAGGTAGCCTAAATTATGAATTAAACATGCAGATATTTTCTTCTCCAAAATATGGACCAAATGTCTTTTAGAGTGCTTCTGAACACTAGTCTAGTATTAGCTACTGAACACTTATGCGTTTGATCTTTTTTCAAGATGACTTTTAATAAGTTAATATGGAATACAGCTGTAGATAGTAATCATTTAATATGAACAAAGTTTTAAAATGGCACTTCATTTACATGTCTGGTCATTTTGATAGTCAATCAACAGCCTCTCTTGTTTCTTGAATTCTCAACCTTCAACTCTTAAAGGCTGCAAAGGCTCAGCGACCGCCAGGTTAGTGAGTTTCTATGAGTATCTTTACATGTGCAAATGTGCACCATACATACATCCACAGACACATACTGATACATGTATACTTTAGAACTGTCAGAGGAGCTGCTTTCACAGGTACAAGGTTGACTCTGGCATCTGGATCCCCAAGGAGGCGCTCACAGGTGTTTGAACAACTTTGTAGAGATGGTCCATGCAGAATGGCGTAGAATGTCTTGATGTCTCCAGGTTATTCCGACATCTTGATGACCAGTACTCTGGTTCTTACTACACTCAGGAGAATTTTGACATAATAGTAACTGCTACTCTTATATGGGGTTTAGGGCAATGCCAAGCCTTTGCTCTCTAAACCATTCCACCTTCAAAGATGTTTCTATCTTGTCGTGTCCTGTAAAACTTTTGTAAACACATCAGTGGTGAACTTTTTTGTGATAGATTTTTTTTCTTCCTGTATTAAGAACTATACTTATCACTCTTAAAAAAAAACCTCAAAGTTCTTCAGTCCGGTTCGCCTTTTTCTTTCTCTGCTCCTATCATTGCTTTTCACCCAATACTTTCCCAAGAATCCGTGTGCTTCCGCTGGAAGACCACAATTCAGCAGGACTGGCTCTGAATGACGTCTGCACTCCCTAGGGTCCCTCCCTCTGCTTTGGGGAGCTCTTTAGTTAGACAACCTGCTGGGTTCTGTCTCAGGCACGCTGTGGAATTGTGCACAGCGCACTGCTCTGCCACTGTTGTCATTCTGATGCTACAATTACAGAGTAGTTCTGCACCTGACAGATCAGCGTGGCTGCCAAACACATTTGAGCACAAGATAAATTTTTAAAACACCAGTACAGGGTGTGTGAGAGGACACCCAGCTAACTTAAAGAGATGTGGGGCAGGGTTGTCTAGGTAATTGGTTACTGTCGAGTTTGCCAGAGATGACAGATAACTCCTGGGACAGAACACCTAGGACACTCCTTTGAAAGCCAGGCAGCTTGAGAGGCTGTTTGGTTTCTTCAGTGCTGGCGACCCACTTGGGTGATGCGGTGGCTCATCAGACATTCAATACTAGGGAAACTGCAGGTGCCACGATGGCCACTGTTGTACCTGGCAGTCCTGTGTCTACAAAGATGGGTGGTCCAGACTTGTTTTTGGAAAGAGAAGCCAGAGGATGAAAGGTGCCAATAGACAGTCACTAATAGGTGATCAAGTTATCATCAATCATTTCTGTCTCCCTATCGCTCAATCATGGATGTTTTTGGAGTCAGGACTGAACTTTTGGTGAGACCGGGGTTGCTGTTTTCAGGAGACACAAATGCAGTTGGTAGAAGGACTTCCTTTCAAGCTAGATAGAGCACACACAATCGTGGGGTCCTGACCAATGCCTGAGAGACCTTGTCCCTAGGAGCTTGACTGTCCCGATCTCTCTCTCTCTGCCTCTGTTAATACAAAATCCTCAGCAAGAGTGGATAAACTCGAATGGGGCTGAACAAAACATTTGGTCTGACAAGAAAACACATTGGCCACTGAAATACTAAAACAGTAAGCTAAAAACTGGCTCTAATTAAGGATACCAAGGAAGGCGGCTTATACTGGTCTACCCCTATATGTTTATTTTTGAAAAGAGAAGAGAATATCACCAGTCTTGAGTGAATCAGGAACCTACTTGCCTGGGGGCAGGGGTTTGAAACTAGTTGTCTTCTTAGGACATGGTATTCTGTAGACATAGATTTCTGTGAGTACCTGAAGGAGTGAGAGACTGATCTTATTACCCAACAAAGGCTCAGTCTCTGTATGCCCAGCAGATCCCAGGGCCTTACAAAAAAACTAGGCCCCCTGGGGAAGCTCAGGGACCTTGGTCATCAGTCTTCCACTCTAATGCCTGGTTCACACCCCTAATATGTCCTAAAGTTCCCTGTTCAAGCAGAGCCAATAAGGGGTTGGGGGGCAGAGACAGTGAAGATGGGAAAATCTAGTTTTAGTCTCCAGAATACTTCCTATTTGTCAGCTCCTTTCATATGCAGTTTTTCCAGTTCTGTAGCAAATGGGGAGGGGTAAGCCTGACTGGGCCAAGAGATGGAGCAGCCATCTGCCACAGGTCCAGCATGGCCACAGGGATGCTGGGAAGGGATCTACCTAAAAATTCCCATTGGCAGCAGCTCTATTTCCCCCTGGCTTCAAATCAGGGCCAACTGAGGAGGGAGGGACATGTTTCCAAGTGGTCAAGCCGGGGCCAAGTGTCCACTGGTATGCTCCAGCGAGGACTACCGGCCAGGGCCTGCACCTTTCTCCTCCATGTTAGCTCTAGTCAAGGTTCCACGGGCTGGTGACAATATAAAATGTGTTAAAAGCATCACATTGCACTCCTCCTATTTGGGAAGCACAGCGGAATAGTGTGCTTGTCCCCTCAGGCCCTTGAAACAGGTCCCTAGGCTGTTCCAAGTCCACAGGGAGTAGGTGGAGCCTATTCACAAATTTCCTTCTTGGGTTTTCAGTGATAGCTTTCCCAAGTCCTATCCGGGTTTGCCCAGTCTTATTCCTTGCTCCCTGACCCCGTGGTAGTGTCTCAACTGCTGCTGGGGGAGCTCCTGGGTGGTCGCTGTGCCACCATGAACCCACGAACTGAGTCATGATGGCAAACTCCCAGTAACTTGGAAACCAGCTATAAAGCGCTAACCGCACATTCTCCAATCCTCTTTGGAGTTTTTTCCCTGGTTTGGGGTTACAGGAAATTTGAGATGAACAGGAAGGGCATGAACATGTCCAGAGAAAGAAGAAGCCACAGTATACTGAGAATAAAAGATCCTAAGAAGCCAGTTTTCCTCAGAACTTGGACACACACAACATTTACAAATTCATTTGGCTTCATTCATAAAGTCTTAGAAGATGTGCAGAAAAAGGAGAACGCAGTTATCCTATATCCTTCTGTCCTGATATCCTGGGATACCAAGAAACACACCTGAGAATAAAAATGAAAAAAATATGTCTAAGCCCTGGCCCCATCTATTTAATCCTGAGCTGAATAGGAGCAGGAGTTCTTGGAAAGATTCTTTACCCGATGATGCTCTTTCCATCTCCAAACCCAAAGCCCAAGAAATGCTCAAAACCACCTCTGGATAAAGAAGACTGGACACCATCAATGTGTTATGCCCACTGACAAGAGCCAGCAGAGCATGTGCAGAAATACCTTCTCCTTCCTCAAGGCCAGGAGGTATGACCTTGACTCCCTTCGAGATTGAGACCCATCTTTCCTTCTTATACACACTTGTTAGCAATCAAAGCTTAAAATGTGTGGGGCAACTAGCTTCAAGAATATCAAATATAAAACTTTGCCATATAGTTATTTCAAATCACTCTATTTACAGGTTTATCTTTTCAAAAAAATGTAAAAGATACAGTAATCCAACACAATTCAAGTTTTTCTTTTCTTCTTTCAACTTCCCTAAAGAGGAATTCCAGGAGCAGGACACACTCTGAAGTGTGGCTGCCATCGGAGGGGTCCGGGAGCCTGACAGTCCATCAGTCTAAAGTTTGTCTGCCCAGAGCCACTCTTGCAAGGACATTCAAGTGTGGAAGATCCTGGGGACTCTGTCCTTTGGAGGCCAAGTGAATCTGAAGTGTCCAGGCTGAACTTCCCCACCCAACGCAGTCTGCCCCAAGACCCAGCCCCTGGGGGACCAGGAAATGCCCACCTTCTATGCCTCAAGCTTTTGGTGTCCTCCTGAATCACAATGGCTCATGACATTAATTTCATGCCTCAAAAGCCTGAGAAATAATTCCCTTTTTCTGAATGGCAGTGAACATATATGTCCTTTTAAACAATAGGCCATAGGGCTAGACTAGGAATTGGCCCTGAAAACCACCAGGGCATCTGAAAACTGCCAGGGGTGGTCAGTGATGGGCTAGAGGCAGGCGAGGGCAGGGGCAAGGACAGGTAAACGGGACGCCATTAGGGACTGAGGCAGGAAAGGGAGGGTGTCACCCATTGGGAGGCGGCATATTGCCCTCTAGAAAGCAAACACCAGTTACATGGAAGAACAGAAATATTAAGCCTGGATGTAATTTAACCTCAAGAGGTTACTAGCGTTTACTCCAAATATATCCTGATGCTGCTGAAATAAATCAGAAAGGAAACAGTTCCCAGTTGCTATTCTTTCTGTCTGCCCAAAGCAGACCACGCTCATTTCTTGATCTTCTACGCTAGGTTATTGGAAAACCATTCAAAAAACTATCCAAAAGGGGGGAGAAAAAAAATATGTGATGCAAAGAGAGTGTGTTATTTTTTTTTTTTTTGGTTTGGTTTAGAGTAGGTTGGGTTGCCATGGTTACGAGGCGATGGCAGCCCTAGGTGGCAGAGAAGTTCCTAGCTTGGGAGGAGGGGAATGTGGGGTGTGTGTGCTCCCTTGCATGAGAGGACTGGACTGAATTCTGCTGATGCTGGGCCAAGGCTGTTTTGGAGATGGTGAAAGATTGGATCTTATGTAAACAGTGCTGTAAGCCCTCTCCATCCTGCATGCAAACAAACAGCCCCAGCAGCCTGGAGCCCTGTGGGTCTTGAGTATGGAGAGGTGGGTTAGAGCGTCTGCTGTAAACAAGAGCAATGGCCCAGCCTGGATCTCGGAGCCGTGACCCAGCCGCACATGCTCTTAAGGATCTTACTTCCACTTTCAGAAGGTTGGGAATTTGGGGGGCTGTTGAGACAAAAGGAGTGCTCCCCATTTGGGTGCTGAACGAGAGAGATGGCTGCGCCAGCCTTTCTCTCGGTTTTCAAAATCAAATGGCCTCCCCTGCTGATTTACTTCTGTTTCCTGCAATGTCACCACAGGTCAGCTGAGATGATCGTGGGGAAGGGTGACACCAAAGTTCACAGAAACACTGGTGTTGACAGGGAGCAGCAGAGTCAGTCACCCTGCACTTCTCGGTGGCAGAGAAATGCCCTGCAACACTGGACTCAGCAGTTGTCATGGATACCATGGAAAGCTCAGCAGTTCTGCTGGGCCCACGGTTAGAGGAACTCCACATAGTTCTCGGGGATGAGGCCCGTCTTTCCATTCAGAGTCCCCTCCAACCAGCCTGGCTCCTGAGACGGGTGAACTGTAACAGGAAGGGGAGAGAGCAAGAAGAGATGATGTTACAGATAGGGCGGGAGGGGGATGTGTGCTGCTTCTGCGGATGTGAGGGTGAAGGAAGTTTGCTCAGTAAGTTACATAATCTGAGGACTTGCTTAAACCAGAGCTTCTGAACCTTTTGTGGGACATAAGCCTTCTGATGAAGGCTATTCTGGACTTCTTTCACAACAAAAATGGAAACAGAGACAGACATTACATATTCTGCATATAATTTTAAGGGTTTCATAGGTTTTCTGAAGGTCCTTGTTTAAACTAAAAAGAAGGGACAGATGTTAGGTTAGAGTTCACAGTTATGGTGCACGATATGTATATTCATCTATGTATCCATCTGTCTGTCCGTCCATCCATCCATCCATCCATCCATGTACTTATCTATCTAACTAGTTTTGACCATGTACCAAGGAGTGGCCAGAAAGGACTGCTAAGAACTAGCCTTTACAGATAACTAGCTTCTAGTCATATATTTGACCCTTGCCTTCTGCTTCTAATTTCCTTGAAAATTCCCTCTGCAGGCTTTTTGTTTAATTTTGTTTTTGTCTTTGCATTTTATAGTCTTTCAATAGCCTTCTCTCTGTTCCACCCATACTCTTTCTTAGCTTTCTTTCCTGTTCTCTAGAATGTTTGTCCCTCCTGTAAACAAGTCTGAAAGTTGTCCTCTTCCTCTCTCTATGACAACTTTCAAAATTTCTGGACCTTTGGTTTTTCAATATCCAAAGAATATATACCCACTTCTGTGACATTATAATCCATCTCCATGGAAACTACTGTGATATTTCAACGATTATATAAAATCCAGCTGAGTCTGCAAAGTAGTCAAAGTAGGAAGAAAGAAAGAAGGAACTGCAGGACTTGGAGATGGGGGGGTGTTCATGCTTATGAGCTGAGTAACCACTTGGTTGAGGCAGGGCATCTGCTATTAATGGACTAGGAAAACTCCAATTTTCCGAGATTGTTTGGAGAGAATGAATTTTCCCCTATTCCCTTCCTAGGCTAATTAAGTGACTTCCTGAGCTTGTTTTAGAAAAGCATTACTGCCAACACTACCATACAAATCTAGCTTCAGTCTGTAGGGAAAGAAGCAGTAAGGGAAGCAAATGGGGAAGCGGAAGGACACACACTGAGGCTCACAGAGCACGGTCAACCTTGTGTAGATCGTGAGCGTTCCTGCAGGAAAAGACAAGGCCAAACATCTGTTAGGTGGCCTTCAAAATGCATACATAATTTCCTCTCACTGGGCTTCAGGAATAAACCAAAAGTAACAAGGGTACTTTGTGGATTCATGAACCCCACATGAGGAGGGGTCTGGGAGGGCAATGTCTGGGAAGAACATAGCACAGCTGAAAAGCAATCTAGCCTCTCCGATGACCAGCCTCTCTCATCCTCCCCTTAGAATACCATCATCCCACCACCCTGCCTTCCACCTATCTATCCATCCAGCTGACACTGCTAGGACCATTTCAGTTTCTGCACTTATTAAGTGGTAATAATAAAACTCTCTCCCCTCAGTCTGCTCTTGTGAGGGTTCAACGTGGAGAAAGCACTCCACAGAGTCAGGACACAGGAAATGCTCAGTGTGGGTTAGTCTGTAGGGGCCCTGTGTCATCCTGCCAGCCACCTGGACTAGTCAGTAAGCATCTCCTGGTGAAACCTGGGTAAAGGCCTGGTGTAAACACCCACCTAAGCTTTGGGAAACCTCAAATGCTTAGAACCCCAAACAAATAAATCAAACTCACTCCCCCAAGTAAAAGACCTAGAGAGAATAACAAACCAACCAAACAAAAGAAAAACACGAGAAAGACGCCCCTCCCACTTTGCAGCAGAGCTCCCAGTGAGTTGTTACTCCACTGGATGCACGGAGTCCGTGTCTTTCAGACATTTTCCAGGTCTGTCAGCTGTGCAAGCACAGCTCAGGTGCTGAGGTGGCAGTGTCTGCAAACATCAGACATGGAATTTGCTGAGCAAGGGAAGAATCAGAGGGGACAAAGGAGGTCCTCCAAACTGGAGAGGTGTGTCACGGGGGGCTGTAGGGGACAATACAGCCTTTGGGTCAGGTTGCTGCCTCACTGGAGTCTTCAAATCAGGTTTGATTAAAGCAGGGAACCCACCCCGATGCTTATTAAGACTGCAGGTTCCTAGGCCCCATGGCACATCAGTTCAAGCAGAATCTAAGGAACGGGGCCTAGGAACCTGTATTTTAACTCATTTATAGAAAGTTAAGGGTTATAACTTTTCTGTACCAAAATGCCTCTGTAATGAGGGTGGCAATAAGAACTGAAATACAAATTTTCATTAAGTCACAGAGGAGGGAGACAGCACCAGATCCCCACCCCACCTTTGCTTCCCTAACTAGTATGATATCATTCAACATTTGTCATTTCTCCTCTGTGCCTGATGAATGATAGATGCTAACACCTAGAAATGGTGACTGGGAAACAGCCATGGGCTCAAAGCTTTAGATATCTATTGACTCATTTGACCTTAAATACCCCTATTTAACAGATGAGGACATGAAGGCTCAGAGAGGCAAGTTAACTTGTGCAGGGTCACAATGGTAGAGCCAGAATTTGAACCCAGCTTGTCTGACTTCAGAGCCTAAGCCCTTTTCTATGATGTTATGCCTCTCTTCTACCAGAGAATGTGATCCTTGAGGATGAGAATGATAGTACATATGTGGAGCACATACAAAGTCAAACATGTACTCGTTTAAATAAATGAGGCGTGCGGCCCGCCGGCTGCGAGTTTGACATGCTTGTACGAAGTGGAGGGTCTTTTCCTAAGTGCTTGGCCAGCATTACCCACTTTCATTTTCAGAATGATTACAGAGATGGTTCTGTTATTATCCTCATTTTACTGATAAGAAACTGAGGCTCAGAGAGGTTAAGTATCTTGTCCCAAATTTCACAGCTGGTAGATGATGGAGGTAGAACTGAAGCTAGGATATCTGACCCCAGAGTCTGTGGTCTTAACCACGACCACTCTGGCTCAACCCGATGCTTTGGACCTCAAAGATGCTCATAAGTACTTGTTGGGCTGAACTGTATACCAATGTCCAACCTTCTGAATTGCACCAGTGTCCTACGTGCTATATAAACACACACGATGCTGCGGATAGCTGCCCGGGCAGTACTCCAGCCCAGCAAGCATATAATAAATATAAGCTGCTGCTGACATGGGCGCGCTTCCTGCCAACCACTTTCTCTCAGCTCTATCCATATATACACCACACACCCCTGTATACACAGCTCATGTTCTCTCCCCTCCTTTGCTCACAGTGGACAAGGCACAAGTGTGCGACTAAGATCCCTTAATGGCTGGCTGCCCCATGGAGAAGCAGCATGGGCTGGAAGAGGCACAGACCCCTGTGGAGTTTGGATGCATTTACTCTTTTAACAAATGTTTATTAAGCACCTACCATGTGCCAGACACTGTGCTAAGTCCTTGCACATAGTACAGAGCAAGCAGACAAAATTCTGCCCTTGGGAGAGGGGGTAAACAATCTTATATAATAAAAGGCTGTATTATCCAAAGAGGATGTTACAATTCCACACACAAATATTTTTCTACTATGACAAAGGCTAATATGCAAATCGACTGAACAGCAGACCTACCCGTCGCTATGACACACACTGACCACCAGGGGACAAATGCTCAAAGCAGGAGCTGCCCCCTGGTGGTCAGTGCACTCCCACAGGGGGAGCGCTGCTCAGCCAGAAGCCAGGCTCACGGCTGGCAAGCACAGTGGCGGTGGGGGGAGCCTCTCTCGCCTCCATGGCAGTTGGACATCCCCCGAGGGCTCCTGGACTGCAAGAGGGCGCAGGCTGGGCTGAGGAACCCCCCCCCCCCAAGGGCCCGAATTTTGTGCACTGGGCCTCTAGTCTATAATAAAAAAGCATATACTTTTAGGTACAGATGAGTGGAGAGAAAGAGACTGGGATGGGGATGTGGGTGAGTGAGGAGGAGCTCAACAAACTAAAATCTAAATGACCTGAAGGAGCCATTGGGTAGGGATGATGCAAGTGCAAGAGCTTGAAGTTGGGGAAAAGCTTGGTGTGGTTTTAGAACGGTCATCAGCAATTTTTCTTAAAGAGCCATAGGGTAAATTGTGTCTCTACTCCACTCTGCCACTGTGGTGCCATAGATGATATGTAAAGAAAGAGGTGTGGGTAGCTGTATTCCAGTAAAGTTTTATTTACAAAAACGGGCAGTGGGTTGGGTTTGACTGGCAGGTTACAGTTGGCTGACCCCACCTGAGAACATCAAGAAGGCCTGTGAGGCTGTAGTGTATGGAGGGAGGGTGAGGGGGCCTGAGGGGCAGGCCCTAGACTGTGGAGGGCCTCGTCAATGATTCTCAGAGCAACGGGAGGCCCCTGGAGTATTTTAAGCAGGAGAATAATATGATGTGGTTTCCATTTTCCAAAGGTCACCCTGGCTGCTGTGTGGAGAACAGTGATGAGGGCAAGAGTGGACATGTCGAGGCCAGTTAGGCAGCTGGTGGAAACACCAGGTGAGAGATGGAGGCAGCTTGGGTTTGGCAGCAGAGAGGGCTGGGAGGCTGGAGACTCCACAGAGGAACCCCCTGCAACCCTACTGCCTGAGCGGCTCGGCGGCCCTGGTGAAGTTCCCTATTAGCCAAGGAGACCTGGGGCAGCCCTGCCTTGTACTCACACTGCTCCCTGGACCCTGGAGATGAATGGACCCAGGCAATCTCCAATCTTGAAAAGAATTCAATTTTAGTGAACACCATGTGACTTTTCCAGGTATTGCTAATCACGTAGCTTCAAGATGACTAATGTTCCTGAGAACACGAGTTATTTCTCTTTCCAGTTACTGTCGGAGGTGCTGGCTCCTGGGGAAGTGGGCAGTTTCCGGGTAGACTGGCAAGGGCTGCCATGGAGTTATTTCCGAGTATTGCACATCCACTCCTGGTTGCACAAAGTCCAGGCGCTGACTGCACAGCGCAGGCCCCTGGAATCCATGCTTGGAGATGAGTTACTACGAAACACCAGACTTTTCCCTCTTCCCCTTCTTATTTATTCTTCTTGGTTCTGAAAACACACATACTCACGGACCCCAACCCTGTCATTAGGAAACTTTCTTCGAATTGGTCTGATAACTTCATCTGACAGCTGCAGAGCATTCTACATAAACAGTCCTTGCCTAGTATCTCCAGCACTAAACTAATGAGACAGAACAAAGAAAGAGATTTCCCTGCCTGACGTGTAAATAGGGTTTTCCTCCTCTAATGCCTGATTTCTCCAACAGAGGTGAAGGGAAGGGGAAAACAGAGGATATGTAGCATTTCCCAAAAGGCAGACATAATAAAATGCTATCAGCCAAACCAGTCTATTAAGTGGAGCAACATTTTGTCAGATCCTTCTTCGACTGCAGCTCTAAGTAAACTCTGAAAGGTGTCTTCTGGGTTTAATCTGGCCCTTTGCTCTTCAGGGAATTCGAAAGGTCACTGGCATTGCTGACTAAAAACAAACTAGTGTCCGTGACCTCTGCCACGACTCCCAGAGGCCACGGAGGCTTGGGCAATGCTGCTCCTTAAACCAGGCCTCCCTCGTGCTCATCTGTCAGGACGGGGTTTGTGACGACTACACGTGTGAGATGGCAGAATCCCAGGGCTGCGAGGCAGAGTGCCCAGATGGGGAGGAAAGGGCCTGGCAGTTAAAATTACCTACGTATCTTTTCTTTTCTTTTGTGGTTAGCTAAACTACTTCAAACAGAAGACTTAAAAACAAATGGTGGGAATGTAAAATGCCGCATCCCTTTGGTAAAACAGTTTGGCAGTTCTTAAACAGTTAAACATAGTTACTGTAAGACCCAGCAATCCCATTCCTGGGTATATCACCAAAATGGAAAATACATGTCCTTGGTTATAGCAGCCAAAAAGTGGAAATAATCAAAATGTCCATTCACTGACGAAGGGATTAATCAAATGTGATATATTCATACACTGGGATATTATCCAGCAATAATAAGGAATGAAGTTCTGACACATGATACAACATGGATGAACCTTGAAAAGATGCTAAGTGAAAGAAGCCAGCTACAAAAGCTACATACTGTGCAATTACATTTATATGAATTATCCAAGCAGGCAAATTTATGGTGACAGAATGAGTAGTGGCTACCTAGGCTGGATGGGGTAGGTTAGAGGTACCTGGGGCTTGACTGCTAAAGTGTACAGGGTTTCTTTTGGGGGTAATGAATAGATTCTGGAATTAGTTAGTGGTGATGGTTTCACAACTCTGAATATATAAAAAAACCACCGAGTTGTACATTTTAAATGGGTACATTTTATGGATTGTGAGTATCTCAATGTAGAAGTTTAAAAAAATGGAAGAAGGCTACACTCAAGAAAAGGAGTCACAAATAACACACACACACACACACACACACACACACACACACACACACACTCACATACCTTTTGGGAGCTTAGACCAATTCTGTCCCTGCAGTCAGGGGGTCCTCTGTGTTGTCAGAGTGAACAGCTGGTAGGACCATGGCAAGTCCCTTGCCCAGGGGAACAGTGAATTGGGGTTTAGAGGACAGACCTTTAAACTGAATTCACCGGTAAAGGTGGGGCTCTCTCAAATCCTGCGCATCTATGGGCAGCCCCTCCCCTGCAGACAGAGTAGGACACAGAATCCTGTATGCAGCCCACTCTGGTTTGTCTGCCGTGGCAGCTGTGTCGTGTGATGGCTGGGCTGTGACTCCGCCATGTGGGCCTGTTCGGGGAACACTTGTCAATGACATGGCTTTGGACAGCCTTCAGTGGACCCACTTCCCTGCAGGTTTGTTGGGGCTGAAAGCCTCAGCTGCTCATGGGGGAGGCAACTGGGTGGCTGGCCATGCGCTGTGACTTGCAAAGGGCCCATGAAAATGGAGCAAAGGTTTAAGGACAGTGCTTTGGGGGCTCTGAGGACCATCAAAGAGGACACAGGCCCTGCAGGCCACGTGCAGTTATGGGCTCACACTGAGCCCTGCTGGCTGAGAAGGTCCAGCTCCAGGTGTGGGCTGGGAACTCCCAGGTCCCCTGTGACCAGTTCCCCATGCTTTCCACCTGTGCCTGCTCAGAATCCCTGCCATGATGAGCGCAGGGGCCGTGCACCCCAGGGCAGCTCCTTGGCATTCAGATGCAGTCAAGGCTGGTCCCAGGAGCCCATCTCTGATCTGGCTTGGACCTCGAGGCCCTAACACAGAGCCAGGGCCCAGGAGTCAAGGTGATTACCTCTTACCCAGCGGAGATCCAGGCCTGGGTCCTACCAGCTGAAAAGGAAAGACCGTCACCAAGAACTATGACAGCATCAGGGCCTATCTAAGATGGATGGAATGACGACAATAATCACAAAAATAACATATTGAACGCGGAGTGTGTGTTGAGACCTATTTTAAATATGTGATGTGCACTATCTCGATTTTCTCACAACCCTCTGTTTTCTGCTTGAGGTCACACAGGAGGAAGGGATCAAGCCAGGACTTGAGTTAGAGTGGCCTGAATCTAGAGTTCCTGTTTTCCAGCGTTACCTGGGAGCCTTGGCTGCCCTGTACTTCTGGGTCTCAGGCAGGTGGTAGGAGGGGTGGTCCGTGACCCTATGCCAAGACTGTCCAGGTTGGCTGACCACACTTTTTTAAAAAATATATTTTTATTGCTTTCAGAGAGGAAGTGAGAGGGAGAAAGAGATCGAAACATCAATGAGGAGAAAGAATCATTGATTGGCTGCCTCCTGCATGCCCCCCACTGGAGATCAAGCCTGCAACCCAGGCATGTGCCCTGACCAGGATCTAACCTGGGACCCTTCAGTTTGAAGGTGCACTGCTGCTCTCTCATTTTGAAAAAGGCACTCGTTTTCAGTATTATCCATTCAACTGAGATTTTCCTTAGGTAGGAACTTAGAAAACTCCAGTTATTTATTTGCTGCCCCCATCTTGGTGAGGGGACAAGAAAACTCACCATTATCGAAGACCGTGCCTGCGATGAATGAGAGCTCTGAGTCGTGCTCAGCTTTGCAAGCGTACAAGGCTTTTGCCTTCCGGAACGGAGTGCTGTGTGAAGACAGGAGTTTAGTTAGCAATGTTTAAAAACCCTCTGAAAGCTCCAGATAGTTCTTCTCTCTTCTTCCCCTTCACTGTGAGCCACCTGATCCTCTGGGGTGGGAAGAGCCTAACCAGGCAGCCAGTGGATGCAACATGAGGTGGAAAAGTTGCAAAGGTCACCAGGAAAAAATGAGAAATATTCAGAGAAAAGCCCTTAGCCCTGAGAAACCGAACTTCTTGTGGGGTGACCTTGTGCCATGTTAAAACTTGACCTAGGAGTTACAGCAGCGCTGGTGGGGAGGGAGGGAGGGGTGGAGAGAACTTCCATAGTGCACAGAGAACACTCCCAGCAGAGCCTGCTGAGAGCGGGCAATGCTCAGTGAGTCAAAAAGGAGAAATTCTAGCAAAGCCAGGTTTCCACTCCGGGCCACAGGCTGACATCAGCTTCTCCAGATGTTACTTATTTCTCATGGGGCTGGTGGAAAGGATTCCAGAGCTGGAAGTCCCTGACCGCCAGGGAGGGCAGGGAATAGACAAGGTATGCATGTGAGTGGTTACACACGTGAGCATGTGTGGGAGTGTGGGAAGAAGGGAGGGGGGGCACGATGCATTTATTTCCCCTTCTCATGTCCAATGAGTGTTGACAACCGCTCTCATTGTGTATCAAAATCACCTGGAAGCTTTTAAAAAAGTGCAGATGGCTGGGTTCGAACCTGACTTGCAGATATAAAGAGAGGCATCAGGATTTTTAAAAGGTCTCCAAGGGACTCTGGTGTGCAACAGGGCTGAGAACCATTGTTCTAGAGCCGGGGTGGGCAAACTTTTTCTGTAAAGGGCCAGACAGGAAATGTTTTAGGCTTTGTGGGCCACATGGTCTCTGGTGTAATTACTCAACACTGCTTTGTAGCTTGAGAGCAGCCATAGACAGCATGTAAATAAGTATGTGTGGCTGAGTTCCATCAAACGTTGACTACAAAAAACAGGTGGTGGGCCAGATTGGACCCATGGACCACAGAATGCAAACTCCTGTTCCAGAGAGTAAACTGTAAAAACAGGTAAATCCTGATATCCCAACTAGTTCCAAATGACCTATGGAATTCTCAGGGTCATAAGAAAAATTACATTTAACAGTCAAGTTGGCTCTTTATTTGATAAAAGCAATTTCCTTCTCCTTCCAAGCCATCTGAGGAAGCTTATGTAGGAGTTCCAGGGCGGAATAACAAACGAGTACAGAGGTGCTCTGGGTTAGATAATTACTGAGGTATAGATAGTATTATTTCATCTTCATGTGATTGATGGGCAGCCTCAAGGAGCCAGAGGTGCTAACCCTCCCATGGTGCACCAATTTCTAGGGACCAAATGAGATTCAGCTGAGGAATGGCTAGTGTCGGGTAAATCCAGACAGACTCAGAAGGGGCGGGGCATGGTGGGTCATCCTGGAATTGTTATTTCTTGGAATCACCAAGACAGCTTCCCTTTGGGAAAGAGAAGCCCTGGATGGTTGGAAACCCATCCCAGGCCCAGGCATCTAGAACTTCTAGTCTGGGCTCCATGAAAACTGAAGGAAAGAAGGCTGAAAAGGTCTACTGTGCAGAATGACAAGAGTAAATCACTATCCAGAATTTGTTGCCAGGGTGCAGTTTACTGCATTCTCTCTGGTCTTCTAGTAGCCAAGAGTTGATGGCCAGGTGGGAGAAAATTGGGAAATTCAGAATAAAAGGAAGTGGGACCTCTGGGAATGCGGGAAAGAACAGCCTTTAGAATTCATCAGCTTCAATGGAAAACAGCTCTTCCTGGGGAATTATCATTAAACAGAATAAAGTTCAGAACAAGGGGCACATTCTGTGAGCTGACCAAACCCAGTCGGTGCATTGACCAGCAAGGGCCAACTATCCCATGTGCAACTTTCCAGGAAGGAAAAAAAGGTTTTTTGTTTGTTTGTTTGTTTGTTTTTTGAAGGAGTGGGGAGCAGAGAGAAGTCACCTGGCTGTGAAAAGTGCTAAATCACCTAAATCCCATACTGACAAGTAAGTAGAGCCCTTCGTGACATGGAAGGTGGAAGGAGAGCTCAGTGGACATTAGCCAGGTCACTGCACCTTCAGGACAGGGCCGAGCAGGTGAGGAGAGCGCAAAGAGACTGCGTAGAGCAGTGGTTCTCAACCTTCCTAATGCCGTGACCCTTTAATACAGTTCCTCATGTTGTGGTGACCTCCAACCATAAAATTATTTTTGTTGCTCCTTCATAACTGTAATTTTGCTACTGTTATGAATCATAATGTAAATATCTGATATGTAGGATGTATTTTCATTGTTACAAACTGAACATAATTAAAGCATAGTGATTAATCACAAAAACAATATGTAATTATATATGTGTTTTCTGATGGTCTTAGGTCTTGTGAAAGGGTCGTTCGACCCCCAAAGGGGTCTCGACCCATAGGTTGAGAACCGCTGGCGTAGAGGTTAATAGAAGGTGAGGGGAAGATCAGCTGAGGCCAGGCCCCTCCAGCTGGATTTTCATAGAGGTTACTTATTAACCTCATTAAATAAAGGGAATGGGACCAAATAGGGGCAAGCCAGGGAAACCAACTGGGATATCTGGCAGGAAGAAAGCAGAGGGAAAGGTGCCCAAGATTATCATTCAAGAGGAGTAATTTTCCACTAATATTAGGCTTTTGGAATTGAATAGTGAAGTGACAATGAAATAGTACAATAAACACAGCTCTGGCCACTGTGACTCAGTTGGTTGGAGCGTTGTCCTAAGAACTGAAAGAAAGGTGGTGGGTTTGATTCCCAGTCAGGGCACATACCAAGGTTGCAGGGTCGATCCCCGGTCATGGTACGTTCAGAAGGCAACCTATCCATGTTTCTCTCTCACATCGATGTTTCTCTCTCTAAACATCAATGAGCGGGCTCTCCTCAGGTGAGGATTAAACAACAACAACAACAAAAGTATAAATAAATAAATAAATAAATAAATAAATAAATAAATAAATACAAAGGTCAGGAAAGGGCCTTGCTTTTTTTTTTTCTTTTTCCAAATTAGTAGGTGACTGATGGTCTATGAGAGCTCTCTTCCCCTGTGACTTCTCCCACCGCTTTGGGACATGCATGAAGATGGGAGGAATGACAGAAGGAGTGTTTTTTAAAGGGACCACCTCCATTCTTCAGGATAAGGGCTGCCAAGTAAAATACAAGATACCTAGCCAACTTTGGATTTCAGGTCAATAAGGGATACTTTCTAGTATAAGTATGTCCCATATATTACAGGAGACATACTTACACTAAAAAAAAAAATCTTTTGTTGTTTATCTACAATCCAAATGTAACTGGGTATTCATTTTATTGGCTAAATCTGGCAACTCTACCCAGGGAAGAGTCTTATCATTTTTAAAAGTCTGTCAAGCCCAGCAAGTCCAGTGTCCCATGCCATACTCCCTGCAAAAGCCTTGAGCAGTTTGCTTTAGGTAGGGTTCCTACCCAAACAGCTCCTGTTGGCACAGAGGCAGTGTTTGTAGGATTTGGCTCTGAGCAAAAAAATAAAAAATCCCCAACAAGCATCTTTAGTTCCTTGGCTCCCTCTTCTCCACAGTGCCTCTCAGCACTGAACATAGAGAGCCTGGGGTGCCTTCGGCTGCTCCTGTAACAGTGCCCTTCAGACCTTAGCTGGGCCTTCAAGGGCATGAAAAAGTTTGGAATCCTTTGCCAGTTAATTTTTCATCTTTGCTTCTGAGCATGGCAGCAGGCCAGGAAAGCACTCAGAGGAGTTTCCCTCAAATGCCCTTGCAAGCCTATCAAAATGACGACCCACTCTCCATTGTATGGCATGACAGCGGGGTGGGGCCAGATAGATTGGCAGGTTGCAATGGCTTAATCATTCAGGCACTGTTTCCAGGGGCCCCCGTGCAAATGCAAGTTATGGGTTTGGGGCTGGGTGCTTTTCTGGGGTTACAAATGAAAGGAAAGGGAAATATAAAGGGAATGTCCCTGCAGAACCCATTCTCTGAGGTGCTGTGAAAGGCAACTTTGTTTCTGAGCTTGAACTAACAAGCACTAAAGTGGCTTGGAAGAGGGGAGAGGAAGCCACTTCCAGGGCAGACGATGTAGACATTTAGGAGACCATTAATTAGGTATAATAAAGTACTTATTTTTATCTGCTCTCCTAGGAAAGGAAATCTGAAGTTCACATTCTGGAAGTAGATTTTGGGGAAGGCCCCATTGAGCCTGAATAATGGGTATACGCCCCACTTCTTGGCTCTATATTGCAACAGCAGTTATGGGATTTTAGCTCTTTGTTGGCGAGCTCTGATGGGCTAGCTCCCCACTACTGTCTGTATCCGTGTTCACCTTGGCATACATATTTAGCTCAGTGACAGCTAATTGTAAGGCCTACTCAGCCTTGCATATATCAAAATGGTAGCTTTCTACAGGGTTGTGGGACAGGATCTTCAAATGGTGCTGTTCTAACCATGGCCAGAGGAGGCAGTGCTGAGTAACCATGACCCCAAACAGCAGTAAGCAGCTTCTACTGCCACAGTCCTCTGCCAATCTGGAAATCCTTGGGAGAAGAAAGGAGTAGCTAAAGAAAACAAACAAACAAGCAAACAAACAAACAAACAAACAAACAAAAAAGGGAAATATCTTGGGAAGTGAGAGGGAGTGGAGAGGTCGAACTACTGGATAGGCAACAGGGCCCTAAAGCTCAGAGACACAAAAAAGTGAATACTCTCAAAGCAGAGAGTACATTTCAGGTTTTCAGCTGAATGATTCTACTATCCTGAGTCCCCTAACCTATCCTGTCCAAGGAGCCAATGTCTTGAATTTTTACTCCTTTTTGATCAAAATGACCAAGTCTCTGTTATGAGTGAGGGAGGTATTTGGAAGGTTACTGTCTCTGGTCAATGTGGTTTGCTCTGGTTCAGGTCCTCATGGACAATCAGTGATCTGATCAGATGCATCAATGCCATATCTAGTGTCCTAGAAAGTTTACATTTCCCAAAGTACCCAGAATGTGTCTAAGAAATAATTAGAAAATAACTTGAGTGTCAGGAAAATACGATTTGAATATTTACCTTATTCCTGGGGTGAAGATAAAAGGATATACTGAAAAGTTATCTTTCTCATATTCTGGGACAAAGCTAGGTAGAAACCCTATAAGACCAGGCCAGGCTCTGGGCTGAAAGTTGCATGGAACCTTGAATTTGGGACCACCCATATGTTTGGCAGAAAGAGTGCTAGTTTGAGGGCAGAAGTCCTGAATTCTGGATTGGCTCTAGTTTAGCCACGTGACTGTACAAATCACCTCCCTGTGCCTTAGTTTTCTCTCCCTGTCATAGGGTTCAGGCCACTTCTCCTCTCATTCTCATACAAGGATAGAATGAAATGATAGAAATAAAAGTATGTGGAGGAGAATAAAGTAATATATACACATCTGTGTATAAATAGCACCGAGTTGTTGTTTTTCTAAGTGAGACTCATCTTTATAAATTATTTAAGCCTCTCTGCTGGACCCACCCCTTAGGAAAAAATCAGCTAGGACAGTGATCGGCAAACTGCGGCCCCTTGAGTGTGGCTCTTCCACAAAATAGCACGTGTGGGCGCACATGTACAGTGCGATTGAAACTTCGTGGCCACACTCAAGGGGCCAAAGAGCCGCATGTGGCTCGCGAGCCGCAGTTTGCCGACCACTGAACTAGGAGAAAAAGATGGACGAGAAAATACTGCCAAGGCCCAAAATGCTTATGATGCTTATAATTGGGCTCTACATTTTGGCTGTCGGACAGCAGAGACTAAGTTTGAGACACACACATGCCAAGGACCTGTACAGCAGAGGGTTCCTGCAGGGTCCTCATTAATTAATTATTTTCCTGGATTTAAATAGCTTCTCTTCTCCAAAGAACTCAAGTGCAGAGAATTAAGTCTGGACGTGACCAAAGCAGGGAAAACTATAGCATGGGCCTTGGGGAGAGGAACTAGGTCAACCCTCAGAAAGAGGTGTTGGCTGCTCTCATGAGAGCTAATGGTTCATTACACATGGAGACAGGAGTAGGCTGGGAGCACTGACGATTCCTGGGAGTGCATGGAGGGAAGGAGCTGGCCATGAACAATTTAAAGAGAAATCACTTCATATTTGGGTTCCATATTCTGTGTTTATATTCATCTCTCTCCCAGTGGTCTGGTCTCAGCAATTAGGTGTCAGTGCTCAGTGCCCACAAACAAATGTTGCCTGATGCTACCTAATAAAAATGAGGGAAGAAAAAGTCAGCACATGTCTCGGCACTGTTCCCTCTGAAATCATCTAATACCAAAGCACAGACAACTCCATGATTCAGAGAGTGAGCCAAACAGAAACCCGTTCAGGAGGCACTCTTTCCCCAAACTTCAAGTATCACAGGTTATTTTTTAAAAATATATTTTTATTGATTTCAGAGAGGAAGGGAGAGATAGAAACATCATTGATCGGCTACTTCCTAGATGCCCCACACTGGAGATCGAGCCCCCTACCTGAACATGTGACCTGACCAGGAATAGAACCGTGACCTCATGGTTCACAGGTCAACACTCAACTATTGAGCACACCGGCAGGGCAAGTATCACAGATTATTAATTCAAATTAAGGAAGGTTCAGAAGGGTGTGGAAAATGCCAGGCTGGTTCATGAGAATGGTCCCTCCCAGCTTTGGCTCTTAGGCTGGAATTGGGGGGTGGGGGTGCAGAGGCTGGCCACCCACTGTCCCTGACTGCCTCTGGATAAACGAGACCGGATTGGCCACGATCCATGACTTTACCTGGAGTCTTCATGAACTGCTTCTTCTGGCCTGTCAAAAAGCAAGTGCAGATTTGGATGGCAGGGAACAAAGTTGACGAGGAGGCTGAACACTGCATGAAGAGAGGACCAAGCCAATGAGAGAACAACGGCAGCAACAGAAAACCAAACAAACCCTGCCACAGACCTGATGGGGGATGAGTCGCTGGACGTGGATGAGGTGGGCATAGGGCTGGATGGCGCCGAAAACATGGGCCAAGATGGCGAGAGGGGTGAAGTTGGGCTTGGATTCGGGGGGCTGCAAGACATAACAACCAGAAAACTCATCAGCACACAGGGAAACCACAGTGGGAGCACAGGAGGTCCATGGAAGGCCACATGATGGGGAGCTGGAGCAACTAGAGAAGCACTGAACCCAGACGTGTCATCAGTGCCCGTCAGTTCTTCCAGCGAATGCTTGTCCGGTAATCCTGGGAGCATTACCGTGCCTCCTTGCCCTGCAGGATAACTGCTTTCTCGTGACAAGGAGCTTCATCAGTTGTGTCCATTATGCCTTTGGCCACAGGTGATAAATGCCCTGAACCCACATACGTGAGTTCCCACACCCATAGCCTATCCCAGGCCTCTGTCTGGGGCAGGGCTAGCTTATAACCAGCCTTCAGCTTCCCCTACTGCATGAGTGTTTTTAAAGTTGTGTCTCAGCAAAAATGACCATTTTTTCCAGGCCACACAGGCTATTGAGCCAGAAAACAATTTCCTGTTTACATTTTTAACTAAATGGGCTGTCTGCCATTGGAGACCCAGAGAAGTATCGTGTTAGAAAAATGGCAGCGGATGGAGTATGGGTCTGGAAAGGACACAAGCCTCTTGAGAGAGGCCTTGTAGTTACGGGCAGTGTGCTGTTCCTCTGAGGTTTGCTTTCCAGGTCTGCTCTTTCTCTTTTCAGAGGTCCTGGGCATTCTGATGCTCAAAGAAAAACCCCAGAGGGGAGGCAGTAAAAACAAAAAGAGGAATGGAAACCTCAAATCTGTCATTTTGTTCTTTAGTTGCTGGCTGATCAAAGTTTGGAGAGGAAAGGTTGAAATTACTCACTAAAATATGGTTTGACTTTAATTGGTCATGCTAGCCCTTCGACTTCTTTCCATATACAAACAAACAAACATTTTAGCAACTCTGTAAAATTGCATGAAATCACAGATAGTGCAAACACTAATGACTGAGAAAACAATGTGGGGACCACCTGGCCACACCACCACCTGCAGCCCCTGGGCCTCAGCCAACGCTGGACTGTTTGGTTCAAGTACTTTGTAGAGGGGAAAATGACAGCACTCCCATGCAGGGAACAGACTTTCTCAACATAGTGGGAATTAGCAAGAACACATAAATGTACTACTTAATGGGACATACTCAATTCAGACACGAGACTCAATTACGGCTCTAATTACCTAGAGTTGCAACAAAAATTCCTATGGCAATATACAGTAAAAACCCATTGTGTGAGTTCATCAGATAGCCTCATACTAATTGAATGAAACATTATTAAGTGCCATTATGTGTATTACATTTCTAGAATATAAATGCTATGAGGCAGGGATTTTTGTCCATTTTGTTTACAGCTCTATCTCCAGAGTCTAAAATAGTGCCTGAAGTATTCAATAAACAATTACTAAGTGAATTAGTGAATCTTGTTTAACCCACCCAACAAGTCAAAAGGCACTACTGTAATTCATGTTACACAGATGTGGAAGCTTGGGCCATTTTGAGGCTTGTCTGAAGATGCTCAGGCTGTAAGTTACAAGACTGAGAGGTTCAGACCCCAATCCCTGACTCCAAGCCTCTGGTATAATAGGACTTGCTCCGTTCCTCGATACTATGCCAAGTGTCTTCACAGACTCAGCCATAGCACTAGAAGCCTTCTGAATCACTGATTTATGACTTTCCTTTAGATGCCAACCACATTTGCAAAGGAAATTGGGAATGCAGTAACAGACTCAATAAGACTCAACAAATTGTAATTCCAACAAAATCCCCAATCCTGCCTCCAGTCTTCTGCCTGCTAGATTCATCCAGCAGATAAAATCCATAAAATATGAGAGATTAAATTAGAAGAGCATGGCCTTTTCTCCCATTAATCTAGCAAAGGCTAGTTAGAGAGAATTTAGTGTGATCAAGACAAAAAAGTGGAATACAAGTTAGTATTTGCCAAGGTTCCTAACTTCAAGAGCTTATGATATATTTGACAAGATGGCACAGATTTAAAAACAATCGCAGATGCTAAAATCCTCAACAAAATATTAGCAAATGGATCCAGCAATACATTAAAAAGATCATACACCATGATCAAGTGGGATTTATTCCTGGGATGCAAGGTTGGTTCAATAGCTGCAAATCAATAAATGTGATACACCACACAAACAAAATGAAGTATAAAAACCATTGATCATATTGGCAGATGTAGAAAAAGCACTTGATAAAATCCAGAACCCATTTATGATAAAAACTCTCAGCAAAGAGGTAATAGAGGGAACATTTCTCAACATAATAAAGGTTATTTATGACAAACCCACAGGCAACATCATACTCAATTGGTAAACACTACAAGCATTGCCCTTAAGACCAGGAACAAGACAGAGATGTCCTCTTTACCACTCCCTTATTCAACATAGTACTGGAAGTCCTAGCCACAGCAGACAAGAAGAAGAAATAAAAGGCAGCCAAATTGTAAAGAAATAAGTAAAATTGTCATTATTTGCAGATGGTATGATACTGTATATAGAGAACCCTAAAGATCACTAAGAAACTACTAGTACTGATAAATGAATTCAATAAAGTAGCAGGATACAAAGTAAATATCCAGAAACCAGTTGCATTTTTATATACTAATAACAAGCTATCAGAAAGGGTAACTAAAAAAACAATCCCATTCACAGTTGCCATCAAAAAATAAAATAAGCCAAAACCGGTTTGGCTCAGTGGATAGAGCGTCGGCCTGCGGACTGAAAGGTCCCAGGTTCGATTCCGGTCAGGGACATGTACCTGGGTTGCGGGCACATCCCCAGTAGGAGATGTGCAGGAGGCAGCTGATCGATGTTTCTCTCTCATCGATGTTTCTGACTCTCTATCTCTCTCCCTTCCTCTCTGTAAAAAATCAATAAAATATATTAAAAAAATAAAATAAAATACCTAGGAACAAATTTAACCAAGGATGTAAAAGACCTGTGCTTGGAAAATTATAATGAAGAAAGAAAGGCAAGAAGATACAAATAAGTGAAGCATATACCACTTCATGGATAGGAATATGTAACATCATTAAAATGTCCATATTACTCAAAGCAATATATAGATTCAATGCAATTCCTATCAAAATACCAATGACATATTTCACAGAACTAGAACAAATATTCCAAAAACTTATATAGAACCACAAAAGACCTTGAATAGCCACAGCAATCTTGAGAAAGAAGAACAAAGTTGGAGGAATCGCACTATCTGATATCAAACCATACTACAAGGCCATAGTAATCAAAACAGCATGGTACTGGCATAAAACAGTAGATCAATGGAACAGAATAGAGAGTCCAGAAATAAACCCACACCTTTATGGTCAATTAATATTTGACAAAGGAGATAAAACATACAATGGAGTAAAGATAGTCTATTCAATAAATGATGTTGGGAAAATTGAACAGATATGTGCAAAAAATGAAACTAGATCATCTTCTTAGACCATACACAAGAATAAACTCAAAATGGATTAAGTACTTAGTCATTAGACTCGAAACCATAAAAATCCCAGAAGTAAACATAAGCAGTAAAATCTTGTATATTTCTCATAGCAATATTTTTTTCTGATATATCTCCTCAGGAAGGAGAAACAAAATAAACAAACAAACAAATAGAATTATATCAAACTAAAAAGGTTTTGCACAGCAAAGAAAACCATAAACAAAATCAAAAGACAGCCTACTGAATGGGAGGACATATTTACCAATGGTACATCTGCTAAGGGGTTAATATCCAAAATTTAAAAAGAACTTATACAACTCAACATAAAATAAACAAACAATCCAATTAAAAAATGGGCAAAGGACCTGAATAGACACCTGTCCAAAGAGGATATACAGATGCCAATAGACATGAAAAGATGCTCAACATCAATAATCATCAGAGAAATGCAAATTAAACCACAATGAGACATCAATGAGCTATCACCTCATACCATTAGAAGGGCTATCATCAATAAGTCCACAAAAAAGTGTTGGCAAGGATGCAGAGAAAAGAGAACCCTTGTGCACTGCTGGTGGTAATGCAGATTGGTGTAGCCACTGTGAAAAGCAGTATGAAGTTATCTTAAAAAATTAAAAATGAAACTGCCTTATGACCCAGCTATTCCACTTCTGGGAATATATCCGAAGAAGCTGGAAAACTAATTCAAAGGACTATATGCACCCCTATGTTTAGTGCAGCATTATTTTCAATAGGCAAGATTTGGAAGTAGCCCAAGTGACCATCAGTAGATTAGTGAATAAAAAAGTTGTGGTATTTACACAATGGAATACTGCTTGGCTGTAAAAAAAAAAAAAAAAAAGGAAAAGAAGGAAATCTTACTCTTTGTGACAGCATGGATGGACCTGTCACCAATACCATTGAACATTTTTACATACCACAATGATTGATGCCTGTAGCGGGAGAATGACTATAAACATATTAATGCTCCTCCAAGGAACAGGCAGCACATTATATTTTAGTTTTGATGCAACTCAGAAAACACAAAGGGGGAAATAAGGTGCACAAGGAGGAGAATGGCCTGAGGCTCTTTGTATCATCTTTCACACCAGAAGTGTCTGGCTAGAGGTTACTTAAAACTGACAACAGCACCCCAAATGTCCAAAACAAAACAAACAAAAAATGATCAGCTTTTCTATTGCCTCTGAAACCTACAATATTAAATTCTCAAACTCTTTTCCCACTAATGAGGCCAAAGATAACAGGATAGGAAAAAAATAATTTTATAACTACAATCTTAGCAGATGACCCCCCAAGGCCTCTCTGCAGCCCTCAAGACCAGCTGGAAGGTAGTCTCTGAGCTGAACACCCCAGCACACTTTTTATCCTAAATATTCCTGAGGTTCTGCCAGGCCCCCATATCAAGGCTCAACTGTAATAGCAACAGCTTAAATGTTAGCATGGAAGGAACACTTGCCCGTTTGACTTGGATTCAAGAGGAAGGCTTGCATCAGCTCTAGTTTGCTGGTCTACAGTGTCCTCAAAAGTCCCAGTCAATCCCTTTGACATTCA